TATTATACAGTTTTCTTATTGAATAATGAAAAATTGGGTGGACTGATGTAAATGGGAAAAAAAGTAAAATGACCATTATTGACATTTTGATTAAAGAAATCAATGACATTCATAATTACTGTCTTAGGCTAAACTACCTGAACTTTTAGAGTAATCATTTACTGGCAGTAACATGGAACTAAAATGTATTTTTGGATTGTAGTTCTTATTTGAAAATAAGTGGTTTTTAAAAAGATTTTTATTCCTAAATCTTTTCTTGAAAAGATACAACAAAAATAAGCTTGCTTCAGAGATTCTCCCTTTTTATCACTGAATGGGCAATAAATTTTTATATCTTATAAATTCTGGTCAAACCAGGTTACTTTACTTAATCCTCGTTACCTTCTGCCCATTCACCCAGAATATGGCAAAACACTAGAAAAATAAAACTGATTTTATTTACATTGATACAGTAAATATATGTTTAAATACATTCCAAAATGAAAACAAAATGGCCCTAATATCTAGGATATCCTTTAGAAACAAAGCTTCATGACCTGAGCATGGTGGATGTTAATCATTCAGGACCCTGTCAACAGCCATAGTGATTGTTTTAAAGCATAAATCATACCATGCCACATCTCTGCTCTCCCTTTTTGATGGCTCCCTATCTCAGTCACAGAAAAAAAAAATCAGAATCCTTTCAAATGGCCTATAATAACCTTCATGGTCTGCCCATCTTGAATAACAGTTGCTTTTTGTTGCTTTTGTTTTGTTTTCCTATATCTATATATTCCAACTACTCGGCGGTTGGTTTGATAAATGAAGTATGATTGGCATGTAGACTATAAATAAGTCCTAGAGTTATTTAGCTTTCCATTAAAGCTGGATAAATTCCGTATATAATCCAAGTTGTTTTCCCTGGGAGATTTTTTTAAGTGTCATGAAAATGTGTTCTCTTACTCAACCCCAGACAGAGACTTATTAAGCATCTTTTGAGAGCAGTCATACTCTCTCTCTCATTCAAGACATGGTATTTGGAGTACAGACTATACCAGATCCAACAAAGCAGATAAGCTATGTACATCAATATTAATATGAGCAAAGTAGCAAAACAAAAAAATGAAATGTAAGGAATTCCAAGGAATCTGTAATCAAGATCACCTGATTACTTGGTCTAAATTCTAAAGGAAAATTCTGGGGCACCTGGGTGGCTCAGTCGGTAAAGCGTCCAACTTCAGCTCAGGTCATGATCTCATGGTTTATGGGTTCGAGCCCCGTTTCAGGCTCTGTGCTGACAGCTAGCTCAGAGTCTGGAGCCTGTCTTCAGATTCTGTACCTCCCCCTCTCTCTGACCCTCCCCTGTTCACGCTGCCTCTCTCTCTCCTCTCTCAGAAATAAATAAAAACATTAACAATTTAAAAAAAATAAACAGGAAAATTCTCCCAAGTGAAATGAGGACTATGTAGAGATTTAGTTCTGCTCTATTTGGGAAAAAAGACACAGCAGAATTAGGGGGACACTAATCTTGTAAATTTCTGAAAAAAGTTGGTAGTGATGCCTATACACAATATAGGTATATTGGCATAACATAATCTTTGTTTACCTGGTTAGCACACAGAACTACAGAATTCATGCAGATCCAACGAGGAAAATGGTATACAACACCTGCCTCTCCAACGATGTGTCAGCAACAATCATTTTTGTATGAAAAGAAAAATGTGCTTGCTTCTAAACTTATGTTACTGATGTACCTAATCACAATGCCTTTCACTTAGAGGAAAAGATTTTATTTTAAATCACAAAATTTGCATACAAAATCAAGCTTTTAGGTGAGGTCATATTAATTCCTTTTTGATAGGGTTTTTTTTTTTTTAAGATGTGTGTTATTTCTTTGGATTTTGTCCTTATAATTCCCCTGTGGTGAAGGTGTTACTGCTCTGTTTTGTCAATGATGGAAACAATAAACATGGATATCAAGCAAGGAGCAATAGAGTGGAAAGGTTGCTAGAGACGTTCATATACCCCCTTTCCAGGATGCATCATGGGATTGTAAGGGGTGCCTGGGCTTGGCTGGCAGGGGAAAGGCCCACCACAACACTTAGTGCAGATCTAGGAACTTTGGGCATGTTTCATTGATGACAATCATACCTATATCACAAGGTTGTGTTACAAGAGTTAAATGAGATGAAGTACACAAAACCACCATGTGCTATTATCATGGTTCCTAGGAAAGCACAACTTTAAAAATTGTCTGTGTTTATCAATAACCCAATGTTAGAAAATTCTGAGAATCATCATTTTGGATTGTGTTTCTGGCTCTCTCACAATGCTTCTCATTTTGAACTATTCCCTGAAAAACGTAACGTTGCCAATCAAATCTGAATTACCGCTTACTTCTACAGACTACTCTCTTGAAGACTGATTACCTTTTAACTATGATTTGAGATTTAGTTTTCATAATAGGAAATAACGGTTTTGCAGAGTGGTCTGGCAGGGTTTTATAGAACAGCTCCAGACAGGCTGACATGTGCTTTTATTAACCACATTTCCTGTAGCTGCACAGACAATGAGAAATCCACTTCTGTGAGCAGAACCAATTATAACTGAACAGGTACACTTTTTCCCCAGCCTGGTCATGATGTCAAATGTTTGATTAGAAAGATCTTGTGCTTTTGGCAAAGTGGGGGTGAATTTCTTTCCATTTGCAAGAACAACCTATTTCTGCCTTTCATTTCCTGGTCTCATAGTATCTTAATTCTGATCTCTCAATGTCAAATAGAGTCATAAATACAATGCCCTTGAGATGGGGAAAACAATATTGTTCTATGTTTCAAAACAGCTTGAGCCAGCTTCAGGCAGGAAGAGGCTGCACCAGGACACAGAATCAGATGTATCATGTGATCTAAGAGAGGACAGAGACAAGGTACACATGGAGAATATGTCCCAGTGGAGGCAACATGGGATGGACCTGGTAGCCCTGCAAAGGAATCTCAAGAACAGTGTTAAATACAGAGAAATGTTAAGTGAAACAGATAAAAAGGTGAATGGAAATACTCCCTTGTGCATATATAAAACAGTGACACAACCACAATAAATCAGGTTTTGAAAGTGTGGGACTGAAATAAGGAAGAGTAATTCTAAAAAGAGGCAGTTCCTAGGAAAATCCTCTCACAGATGGGAAGAAAAAGAAAAAGTGGGAACTTGGTTGTAAATACAGGATTACAAAGACAAAGCAGTCCCCATTGAGTCAAGCATTAAGACAAGGGCCCCTTTCTGCTGCCAAAGAGAGAAACTTGCCAGCAATGTCAGTAGAAAGACTACCCCATCCCCTCCCCCCCACCTTCCCCACCCCTCTGCCAAAATACTAAAAGCTTATTATTGCAAACTTCATATTTCTTCTCTTAAAAATTCTTCAGCTATGGCAAATCAATCTGTTGATATTTCATGGAACTCAAATGAAGATTATTCAGTTACTTTTAACTCTCTCTTGACCAATGTAAAGATACAGAATTGTAGATGGGTAGAATATTTAAGCTCAAAGGAATTGTATTGATCATTTATTCTAAACTCATTGTAGAGTCAAGAATTCCAGGATTATCTCAGATCACATGGCAAACTAGTAACACAGCCAGGACAGGAATCACATGCTCTTGATTTCCAGACAGTACTTCTTTTTTCCACCATAGCTCTTTAAGATAAAATTTTCAATATTTTCAAAAGAGAGTTGCATCTATATAAAGTCCAAGAGGAAAAAATTCTATTAATAAGAGAACCCAAGTAGGAATAAGCTAAATTTAATAGGTCACCAACAGAGACTTATAAAATGAATATATATATATTTTTAATTAAATGTAAGAGGCTGCCTGGGTAGCTCAGTCGGTAAAGCATTGACTTCAGCTCAGGTCATGATCTCATGGCTCATTGAGTTGGAGCCCCACATCAGGCTCTGTGCTGAGAGCTTGGAACCTGGAGCCTATTTGGGATTTTGTGTCTCCGCCTCTCTCTTTCCAAAATAAATAAACATTTAAAACATTTTTTTTTTAAAAAGGAGGTGGTGGGGAAATGCAACCCAGAAATAAATATCTTTTACTTTGCACTCAAAATATATCTAAAACTAGCCATTTCTTGTTACCGCACTGCTACTCTGTTGACCCAGGGAAGCATCATGTATAGCAACGTTCCCCTAATTGGTTTCCTGTTTCCATCCTTGGCCCCCTATTACCTAACAGCAGCACAGAAGTCAGAATGAGTCCTTTAACATGTGATTGTCATTCCCCGACCCAATCCTCCAATCGCTTCTTGTCTCCTAAAAATTGAAGCCAAAATCAATACAAAGACCTACAAAGACCTATACAATTTACCTTCTGCATTCCCTCTCTGATCTCATCTCCTTTTGTCTCCTTAGCTCGCTATATTCCAGCCATCCCGGCCTTCCAGCTTACTCTTGAGTATATTAGGCACAGCCGTGCATTAGGGTTTGTATCATCTCTTTGGTCTGGAGCATTTACCCCACCCTCTGTCTACATAGCTCATCTTAACTATTCAAGTCTTTGGACAAGTGTTGTCTTTTCCTTAAGGCACACCATAACCACCTTATTTAAAATTATTCTACTCACTGTGCACTCTAAATCCTATTTATCTTGCTCTATTCTTTTTTACATAGCACTTATCATGAGCTACCATTCTATATTATTTACTGCCACTAGAATGTAACATTAAATAGAGTATCAAGGCATTTACCAAGATGTTTTGTTATTGATGTATATGCAGCATCTAAAACAGTACCTAAAATATAATAATCAAGAAATATCTGCTGAGTGACAGACTTGACTAAAAGCAGATGATCACCATGTTAAGAGCCATAATCTCTGGTTTTACTCAAATGAAAATTCAAGAATTCTACACTGGAGAGAGTACCACAGAACGGAGTGTTCTTAACTCTGAAGGAAGGGGTCTAATATGAAGAAACGGCAATTTGGAGAAATGTCAGAAGCACATCAGAATTTGTTATAATGATAGTGCTCGTTTTGGCTGCACACATACTAAACTTGGAACAATACAGAGAAGATTGGCATGGCCACTGTGCAAGGATGTCACGGAGATGCGTGAGGCATTCCATATTTAAAAAACTGTTATAAAGATATATAGGACTTTAATTACAAGATTTAACTAAATGGAATATCAAACCATTTGCCAAGATCGCAAAATAAAACTTCATATTCTGTTAAATTAATATTTAAGTTTAATAAAATATCTAAGGGCCCAATAGATGTTTTTATGGAAATTAATGAAATGACTTAACAGTTCATTTGAAAGGATGAGGAGCTGAGAACCTAAATAATCAGTGACAAGAAGAAAAAATTTATACCAATATTAAAACAAAATTAGAAAACAGTACTTATGAGCTACTGATTTGAGAAAAGCCAGATAAATCAAAGAAATGGAATAAAAAATTGAGAAACTGCCTTCAGAACAAATGAGTAAGGAATAATTTAGTAAATATATGGAACTAGGAAAATGTTTCAACCATTTGTTTTTAAAAAGTTTTTTCATACAACATACAAAGTAAATTCCTCATGGATTAAGGAGTTAAATAAGAGAATAAATGCAGATTTAGAATAATGATAAGTGGGTCTCATCTTAAGGCAAGTCAAGCTCACCAAGTTTAAGATATCATAACCAAATTATGAGATGAACATTTTTAGAGCATTATTATTACTATCATTAATAGTAATAATCATTATTTATTATATTATCCCATTCATGGGATACTTTGGCAGATAACTTGGAAATAATAATGACTATTATTAATATTAATAATGTTGTTGTTAAAAAGGAAACAACCAATATGAGGTGATCCTGGAAAGAATGGCACTCATTTTGTGAGATAAAAGCCTGGAGGGGATAAAGGGTCAAGGATTAATCATTAGGGTTTAGAACTTTCCCTTTCTTTTCCTACCTATTATTACTAGAACTTCAGCAAATTCATTTTTTACCCACAAGTGCACTCTTAGTGGTTCCTTGAAAACTCAAAGAGAATAAATTGAATTCATAGTTTGGGGCACTAAAGAGCAATCTCACGCAGTTGAAACACCAGAACTGAGATGAAAAATAAACATAAAGGAAGAGGGAAAAGCAATTATGAAGAGGATGGCAGGAAGCTTGGAGCTGTTGGACAGGTTTATGGCAGACTCTGTTGAGTTTCATGGGTGTATACTTATTACTAAACTCATTTCATGGGTGTATACTTATTACTAAACTCATCAAGTTATATATATTAATTATGGATAGCATTTTGTATGTCAAAAATGTAAGGTAAGAAAATAAAATTCAGAAGAAAAAGAGTGAAGAGCAAAAGAACAAAAAAGACCAAAGGAGCATATATATAAATATCCCATATAGATTTTTGAGAATAAAGGAGGAGGGCATCAAAAGCTGAAAATTATATGAAATTGAGGGCTTATTTGATTTTATTTGAACATTAAAAACTTGATAGCTAAAAGGATGACTGGAAATAACAACCTTGCACATACCCACACTTCCATACTCATATACAGAGATCTGCACATATGGGTGTACACACACACGTACTTTCAAGCAACTTACTGAGAAAGTTCGACTTGATAGGCTATAAGAAAGAACCAACTTCATTCTTGTTCTTTTGTATTCCTTCAAATTTCTGTGAACTAGTAGTTGTTCTAACTCTGCGTAAAATTTTAAGGAAGTCTCATAGTCTTTGGTGAACAGTAGTTTATAAAAATCCACATTTGTGTGTTAGCCACTTAGATCCAAGCCAGTTTTATATATTTATATAATAAAAAAGCTCAGAGAGTTTCTCTAATTTAAGGCTTCTTCCTGTAGTAGCTTAATCTCCCTGACTGACTTTACTTTAGAGTAAAATAAAATTAAGTTTCTTCCTTCCTTCTTTCTCTCTATCATTCCTCCTTTCCACAAATATTTATTGAGTGACTGCTCTGAACCAGGAGCTTTAATAAAATACCAAGGAAGCAAGCAGGACAGATGGCGAAAAATTAAAAAGAAAGCCATAAGGAATTTTTAGCAAGAGAATCACACAGTAAGATTTTTCTTTTCTAATGATAAATATATCAAGATGTGGATAAGAAAGTTGAATATAGTGTGACTAGACATAAAAAGGCTAGTTAGAAGATGGTCTCAATAATCCGGAAGAGAAATGATGAAGACCTGAGGTAGAGAGGTGTATATTAAAAAGGTTAAAGAAATAGAAGAGGATTTAATGATGGATAAATGAGAAAAGGGGGGGAAGAAAAGGACCGTTCCTAGATGTCTGGTTTAGGCTACTCAGTAGATGGTGGTGGCCTTTGCAAAGATAAGAAATCAGAAGGAAGACAGGGCACCTGGGTGGCTCAGTTGGTTGAGTGTCCAACTTTGGCTCAGGTCATGATCTCACAGTTTGTGAGTTTGAGCCCCATGTCAGGCTCTGTGCTGTCCGCTCAGAGCCTGTATCCTGCTTTGGATTCTGTGTCTCCTGCTCTCTCTGCCCCTCCTCCATTTGTGCTCTGTCTCTCAAAAATGAATAAATATTTAAAAAAAATTTTAATTTTAAAAAACATCAGAAGGAAGATTAATGTGATTATTTTTGTTAAGACAGTATAGCTGTTTTTTTATGGTTCATTGTTACCCAGTTTCTTTCAACTTTGAGGGATAAGAGAAGATTACACTTTCTCACCCCAAAATAATTTTATAATTTAATAATAATTAATTTATAAATAAGTTTATAATTTAATCTGTGCAGTGGATAGAGCTACACATAGTGATCTCTTGGTGCATTGTTTTGAGTTCATGGTTCTCTATCTTCTCTAACACAACGACGAGTGGCCATGTTCCAGAAGAAGGAGCCTCCCTTAATATGGGTCCCTAACTAGAGGATTCTGTGTTTCAGAACATTTTCTTTAGATAATGCATAGTTCCATGGAAGTTGAAATTCCAAACAAGCTCCGTATATTGATGATTTTCACGGGTTTTTTTCACAATTTTTTTTCTGTATACTGATTATTTTCACAACTCCTCCTTTGCCCTTGCAAAACCACCCTTCTATCTGTGTCTTGAGCTCCTGACTTAATAAGTTTAACCACCATCTATGTTGATGCTTTTGTCAGAAGCTGGGTATTCTCCTTATATTGTGACTTTCTTATTCTCTACACATCATCAGCCACATGTACTACAAATATCACCTCATTAAGTCTTCTTTAATATTTGTCTTCTAGTCACACAGGCAATCATCTCTCTCTGATATGAGTACTTCAGTTTTCTAACTGTTTTACTTGATAATCTGCTCTATAATTAGAGTGATTTTCCAAAATGAGTATTTAAGGGGGTATAATTGATGTTTTCACCATTGTAAGTGTGCAATTCAATGAATTTAATAAATTTAAAGGGTTGGGCAACCATCCAGGTGTAGAACTTTTTCATCATCCAAAAACTTCCCTCCGGCCTGTTTGCAGTTCACCTCTGCTCCTATCCACCACTCTAGACAACCACTTATCTGCTGTCTATCTCTATAAACTTGCCTTTTCTAGAGGTTTTGTATGTAAAATAGAAATTTTATTGTTATTTCCCTACTGGAAATTCTAAAATGCCCTCCATTTTTCCTCTGTAGAAAGTACAAATTCCTTTAAAAATAGATTATTGTAAGGAAGGAAGGATTAGTCTTTTTTTTTTTTTTAATGTGGAATACAACTGATTTTGTTTGTCTTCATTCTTTTCTGTACTGGAAGAATAAAATGCAGTATTTCTTTTAGGAGGGTGAGGTGAAAATGGGAGCTAGCCTGTTTCAGGTGCTAATATTTGAGCTGTGTGTGGGCTTAATGGGGCACCAGGGCCTGTGGTCAAAGACGGAGTGGAAGTAGAGAAAACCAAACCAAACAAACAAAAAAAAACAGTACCTCTTGGCAAAATACAAAGAAAGGAAGAAAAGGCTAAAAGGTTGAAAGATAAGATATTATGGGTGGAGTCCCCAAGAACATAGCTGCAATCTTTAAGAAATTAGCCAGGGAGAGAGGGGTCCATAGTCATGCCATTGCCTGATGGCTGAACCAGGTAAAGGAGAGATAAAGTAATGTAAAGACTGAGTCCTGAGCACTGGGAGAGCACAGTGTGGCAGAAACCTAAGAAGCTGATATTGAGGAAGTCACATTCTTCATCTTCAACAGAATGATTAAAGTGAACTGAACTACTTGCAAGCCTGAGTTAAGAAACTTGGTAATGACACACGTTTCCTGATTTGGCCTTTTTTCTCTTCCATCCTGATAATATTACTCTATGCTACAGACATTATAAACCTCTCCAGGATCCTGATACAGTTATGTCTACACCTGGCTGGATTGTGCTAAACATCACTGTACATCTGACTAATTCTACTTGTTTAAACTGATATATGTCAATCTGGACATCTAAATATCCTTCATTGATCTCAATCCCAATGTTTGATTGATCATAATGAATTGTCCCCAAACCTGTGTAATCTCCAACTAATAGCGCTCTTCCCTTGAGTCCTCACACTGAAATTGTTTTCCTGTGTCTAATCCATTAGACAGAGAGTCTCCTGAGCTTAGATACTTGTATCCTATTCTCTTAATGTGTCTCTAGTGCTTATCACAGCTAATGGCACACAATTAAGATTTTACATCTATGGAGCTAAAATAAGTGTAAACAATTATAATAATAATCATTATTTTAACATTTTAAAATAATTATAGATGTAAATAATTTAAAAGCATTTAACATGCAATATACAATTAAGGTAATATTTAAGGACATGCAAACAATAGATTTTTAAATCTTTCTCCTCAATCTTTTATTGCAGTTATATAAATGTAGTTTTCCTCTATGTAGCAGTAATATACTGTGTATTTTTCTTGGCTTATTAAAAAATTGTCCATTATTCTGAGCTCTCTAACACATTAATCCTTATTAATCCTCTTTTCTTTATTAGTTTCACATCTCCCTTGATGGAAAAAAAAGGCTTGACAGTCTTTCAGGATCTTATGTTATCACCTACTTGATGTGGAATTCCAAAGTTACTAGTTCTAGTCCTAGTCTGAGGTCCAGCTTTTTAAGTTTATTTCAGCAAAAACAGAATTGTTA